TCTCTCTCTCTCTCTCTCTCTCTCTCTCTCTCTCTCTCTCTCTGCCTGAGCTTCAGTTTTTTCATCTGTGCACTAACAGATTCCATCAGTGGCTTTAAGGTTTCCTTGCTGAGATCTGGTTAAAAGTAGTGCATGACAACAATGATTTCAACCAAAGGGCACTTCTAAATAAATTCTCCTTTGGATCCTTCTGCCTGAAACACTCCTACCATGCTTTCCTACCAGACTACCTGTCTTTTACTCAATTCAGTTCCTCTGGGAATCCTCCAACTGTTCCTTCTCCATCCTCCCCTCATCCCTGCCTATGTGATGGTTCCACCTGTTTTCTACAACACTGGATGCTGACACAGGCACTAAGAGTGTTATTCATCCACTCACTTCAACCAAAGGACTGCAAGCTCTGGGGTGTGGTGGTGGTCACTTTTCTGTCCCAGCAACTGCCACCAGCAGTGGCTGAGTGCTGGATCACTCAATGGGCCCATCAAGCATTTCCTTCATTTTTCCTCTTTACTTTTTTTACACTTACTTTATGACTAAATATTGTTTTATTCTTAACTATATGAAGGGTAGAGAGGCTCTATATCCCTGTCTTTTCAGGGCCAAAGTTAGTAGAAGTGGCTGAATATAATTTTGGCCTGCTACAAATGAAGTGCTTAACATACTTCAAACACTCACTTGGTGAGTTAAACTGAAGTTAAAAGGTGTCTTCCTCATTTGCTCCCAAAAGCTAAGCCTTTTTTGGTGAAGGTAAAGATAAACTCTGCCTCCCACTGGCCATGCAGAAAGCTTGCTACCTCCTGACCCCAGCCCTTTCAGCCCTTCAGCCACTGTTACCTACCCCAGGACTCAGCTGCTTCCTTGTTTCAGCTCTGACTTATTGAAATAGCTTGAACAAAGGGGAAAAAAATCTCTCTCTCTCTTTTTTTGTTTGGTACCAGAGATCAAACTCGGGACCTTGTGCTTGACAGGAAGGCGGTGAACTTTTCAGCTCTGACTTATTGAAATAGCTTGAACAAAGGGGAAAAAAATCTCTCTCTCTCTTTTTTGTTTGGTACCAGAGATCAAACTCGGGACCTTGTGCTTGAGAGGAAGGCGGTGAATCACTGAGCTAAATCCCCGGCCCACCATCTCTTTCTTGAACAGCCCAGTTGACCAGCAAACACTGCCTCACCTGCTTTCACTATGTTCAAATCCAGCCACCTCTCTGCCCCTGACTCCATTCTGGTCCAGATCATCTCTCACAGGACCCCTGCCTCTCCTCCAGCTCTTCTACAGACTATCCACACAGCAGCCAGAAGGGGCTTTGAAAATTTCAGTCAGAACAAGTCTCTTGAATGAGTTGCCCCATGCTCTGCTTACCTCATGCCTTCTCTTTTTATAACTCTCCCGTGCTTACGTACTTTGTCTACAGCCTTCTGGCTCTTCCTGAAATATCTGGGGATGTGCCTGCCTCTGCACCTGCTGTTCTCTTTGCCTATGACACTCTCCCTTAACAGCCCCATGGCTCTTTCTCTCATTTTTAATTATAGACCTTGTTGGCAAGGACTTCACTTACCATCCCATTGTTATGGTTTAACTATGAAGTGTCTCCCTAAAGACTCATTTGTGTATTGAAGGATTGATCGCTAATGCAATAATGTTCAGAGGTCAGGTGAGATCATGGGGGTGCTGATATTATCAGTGTGTTTACCCACTGGAGAGCTCACAGCTGAATGGATCGCTAGAGGAAAGGCCCAGCTGGAGAAATTAGGTCACTGGGGGCAGTCTTTGAAAGGTATAATGTGGTTCCCAGCCACATTCTCTCTGCTTCCTGCCTGCCAATTAGGTAAGTAGCCTTCCTCTGTCTTGCCCTTCCGCCATGATGTTCCTGCCTTGCCAGATATAAAGGTAATGGTGTCAGCCAACCATGGACTGAGATCTCTGAAATCGTGAGCCAAAACTAATCTTTCCTCCTTCAAGTTGATTTGCTGAGGTATTTTGTCACAGGGACAAAAACTAACACACCTTGTGTAAAATTGCAACAATATTCCCTGTCTCCCCGTCCCTGGGAACTCCTTACTTCCCGCATGTTTTCTTTTCCTGGAGGTATTCATCTCCCTGTACCATACTACAAAACCTGCTTCCTTATTTTGTTCATCACCCATTAGACTACAGATCTCATCAGAGGGACACTTGTGTTTGATCTGTTAACTCATCAAACATCCCCAGCATCTAGAGCTGTGCATGGCATATGATAGACCGGTGCTCAAGTAATAGCTGTTGAGAGAAGGAAAATAAATAACGGGAAAAACACACAAGCACCAAGGTGCTTGCCCAGGTCTTTGTTTTCAGCCTGCTGCAGGTCACATCGCTTGTGCGCATCAACGCTCCTCCCTCCCCCACGTACCTCAGAGCTTGGGTATTGTACAGGTTACCATTCCACAGCCATTGCGGCAGCATTTCATCAGGCCAGAGCACTGGCTGTCCTCTTCACACTGGTTCTCGCAGAGGCCGAGCAAGGGTAAGTCCACACTGGGGCAAGTACCCACCTTTTCTGGGTGGAAGAAGAAGTAAGGTGCAGACCAAGGTGGAGAGAGAAGATGGTCAAAGCGTGACCCAAGTTCCCCTGCTGCTCCTCAGCCTGGTTCGCAAATAGCACAGCTTCCTGCTTCAGTTGATTTCAGGGAGAGGGGGCTCTGCTGTTCCGTTTTGTCCCTGAGGGGTTGCCTACACATCCCTCCTCCTCCTGTTCCCAGATGGCTCTGGAATCATCACAGCTCAGTTTGAGTCCCTGTTCTGTCATTTTCTAGCTTTATAGTTTAGGGCCAGAAATCTCCCAGAGCACTAAAGTCTTTGGGTGTCACATGACATCAGTGACATCCATGGTGCAAATCATTGGCTCCTGACAAAAGCAATGGAGGCAAATACCGTTTCTTCCCCAAAGAGTAAGCTACTTTGTAATAATAGTGATTAATTATAATACTGAGCATTTAATTAGTTCTTGCTATATATCAGACACTTTTCCAAGCACCTGACCTATAGTAGCTCATCCAATTTTCATAATAAGGGTATTTTACAGAGGAAGAAACTGAAGCACTAGGAGGTTAAGCAATTTGCATAAGGTCAGACAGGACTGAGGTAAGATCTGAACCACAGGAAATCTGGCCCCAGACCCTGCATTAGCCCCCATGCACTATGTGTCACAAACAGTGAAGTGTAGTGCTCACATGATGGGTACACACCCAGCATCCGCTTTATTCATTTCCACACTCATTCCCAGTTACAATCACTCAGCACCATGACCTCCCACACCTACTCATGCATCCTTTACACACACACACACACACGCACACACACACACACACACACACAGCAGAGCTCCTTCAGTTGATTCTTGGCTGAAGGAGTGGGGAAGAAGCTTAGTACAATGTAAAACACAGGCGCAGAACTGGGTGATCACTTGTAGAAGACCATGAGAGTAGTTGAACGAGTCCTGGCTTCCCACTCCAAAGAAATCCAACCCCTTGAAAAGGGCAAGTCCTTTCGATGCTGGGACAAAAAGAGAATAAACGGAACAGTTCGCTGACAAAGCGAGCCACCACAGATAGTGTCCATGCCCTGCCGGGACACTTCCCGCCTGCCACTTCATTTAGCCGTCATGGTGGTCCCATAGTTTGAGAGTCTCCCTCTCACTTTGCAGACAAGCAAGCAGAGGCTCAGAGAGATAAAGTAACTTATTCAAGACCACACACTAGGATATGGCAGAGCTAAGACACAAACCTCCAGGTTCTCTCCCTCACTCAAGAAGCCCTATGACTTGTCCTCGCCCTGCCCCCCTGTTTTGGGCCTCAGTCTATCTGAGACATGGGAACAAGCTCTTGGTCCACCCAGCATCTTAGACTCTTTTGCCCTTCCACCTCTCTCCCCTGTCAGTCTGTTGCTTTCTCTCCCCACCTCCACCACCTCTCTTTCTGGTCCCTCTCTCAGATACATATTAGGGGCCTTCATACCCAGAAGCAGACCCTGATGGGCAAGTGTTCCTAAGCACCTCCCACCTCCCTGCCCCCTGGTGTCTGGGATCTCTTAGCTACAAAATTTCCCAGCCCCTGCTGGCAGCTTAGAGGAAGACAACAGAGGGAGAAAGTCACCACCGGGGCTGTGTTCTGGATGAAAACCAGTTAATTACACACCTTGGTCCTTCCTCGGTCTGTCTTGCCTCTTATCCCCAGGTTTTCTCTCTGAGAAGCCTGGATTCCAAGCTAAGATAAGAGTCCTCTGTCTATGGAGAGACTTGAGCCCTAGCAAGCATCCCAGGTCTCTCTCCCTTGGTCCTTAGAGGAAGATACCGTTTTAAAGATAAAGAAGGAGGATAAGATGCCCAGGCGAGGTCCTGATTTTCTTCAAACTGCTCAGCCAGCAAATGGCAAAGGCAAAAACTGAACCTCTGCCGGCCACAGGGTGGCAGTGAGTCCTTGGGCGAGAACAGTTTGTCTGCCACTCACTTCCACAGATACAAGATAAGGGTGCGTCCTAACCTGGAAGGTCCTCTTCTGACCAAGTAGGAATCTGAGGCAGGCGGGTAGTAGCCGTCCCGAGAAGGAAACTGGGGCCCCAGGTCCCCCTACTGCCCGGAACAATGTCCTGCTGTGCGTGCCCGGAAGCCCGTCATGCACCAGAGATTCCAGACAGGAGAGGGGTTAGGGGACCGCCCTGGTCTTCGGCTGCGCCTCAGTGAAGCCTTTGTCTCCCCCAGGGCCGCGGGAGGGAGGGCACAGGCGGATCTGGTTTCCTCCGCTCGCTCGACCTTCCCGGGGTCCCGGGTTTGGGTCGCCTTCCTTCTGGGAACCTCGCAGCCTTCGGGGCCCCGCCCCACCCCGGCCGGGTTGCCGCTCGCTTACCGTTGGGCAGGGTGCAGATGGCGCCGCAGCTGCTCTGGCAGCATTTGAGGTTCTCCTCGCAGTCGCCGTCCGACAGGCACCCTTCCTTCTCCGTACAGTTCAGGTCCATTTGGAGCCCTGGGCACACGCCCGGTTTCTCTGGCCTTGGGTCTAGGGGCGGGAGGGACGGCATCAGTGAGCGCAGGCAAAGGATGGCCACCTCCTGTTCCGAGGGTCCCTCATCCGCGTCAAGGAATTTCACTCTCCGGCCGTAGGGGCCCCCTCAAAGCCCCCAAGGGCCCCACTTCCAGGCCCAGGGTCCGGGCGCGTAAGAGCAGGAGTTTCCCGAGGTTCGGCCTCAGAGCCCTCAAATCTGTCCTAGTGGCCCCGTGAGGCTGAGCGTCTGAGAGCTTCGACGTCTAGGCAGACTCCGGGCACCATTCCAGCCAGTTTCCACCTTCCTCGCAGAAACTACGCCCCTGCAAATTTCAGCCCTCTGAGGTCCCCCCACCTCCAGTGCACTGGACCCCACATCCTGAACTCCAAGGGTAACTGGATTCATGCCTCGAGGGTCCCTTAATTTTAATCTCGGAGATCTTCCCCCTTGCGCCCCAGGAATTCTCACTCCCCCCACCCCAGAAAGGCCACACCTCTACCCGGCTCTGACCTGGGCTGGTGGCTTTGCTCTCCTGCACGCCTGGCCTCTCCTCGCCCCACTCAGCCGTTGCCGGGAGGAGGCCGGGCAGCAGCAACCCAAGGAGAAGGGCTGCGGCCAGCGAGCCGAGGCGACCCGCAGGCATGGTGCTGTGCGTGGTAGGAAGGAGATGTTAGCTCAGCACTATGGGGGGATTTAATCCCGCGTTCGGGGCGTGGGGCAGGGGCGGGGCCGAGCGAAGGGGTGCAGGAGGGGGGTAGAGAGCTAGTGGGAGAGCTGCCACCTCATGCCATTTCACAATCCCCTGGGATCAGGTGTCACTCTTGGCCCCGGTGGGAACCAGGAACCCAAGCAGCTTCCAGGCCCGCAGCAACTCGACCAGCTGCAGCCGGATCCTGGTCCACTGCTTCCTCTTTTCCTCCCTCCTGGGGCCGCAGGGCGGGGCAGGGCAGGGCAGCAGGCCCTAGGCCCCAAGATCACTAGTCCGCTTTCAGACCCCCGGTGCTCCCTGAAATACCCCAGGTCAGGGTAGAGGCGGAAAGGATGGAGGGGTGGGGTGGGGGGCACAAGGACTCCATGGATTAAGTGGTTGGGCTCGGGGTCGGTTCAATCCAAGTGCAGATCCCGTGTAGCGATTAGTGGTGAAGGGCTGGAGTGGTCAGAGCATATAGTATATATATTAATAAATGAGCCAGTTTGACAAGGAACAGGCCCACGAAGGTGAACCACCTGTCATCTGGGTGTCTCTTCGTACTACACTCTTCTCAGGGCTGAGTGGGTGCCAGGCACTGTGATCCTTGTCTGAAGTAATCCTCCCAGTATCCTAGAACTAAGCATTATTGGCATCAACTGTATATGCCAAACACACTGGATGTTCAGAGGTTTAAGGTCCCAAGGTCCCAGGTAGAGCTGTACAGACAAGGCTTTCAACCCAGCTCTCTCCTTCCAGGTCCTTGATTTTTTTCCATCCCATTGTAAATATGTGTTGGGTTTCTCCTATATGATACATAAAGGGGAAGACAGTTGGTATAGAGAAAGTAAGCAAAATGAGCCCTCCATCTCCATCCTAGAGTTTAGGTTCACCTCTCACCTTCACCACTTTCCACCAGAGGACCTTAGAACAATTACTTTCCTGTTCTGAACAACCATTATGTCGTCTATAAAAATGATGATCGAATAAGGCTTCAATGAGAACATGAATGTAAATTTTCTGCCATGAAACGTCTATGGTGGGTTGGTTCGTGCTGACTGACACAGGAACCAGAAACCCATCACATTATAGTATCACATAAATGGTGTGAATGCCCAGTAAATAAATGTTGAGAGTCTACCATTACTAAGGAGACTGATAAATACAACTGGCCCTCCACGGGTTCCAAGTTCTTTGACTCAACCAAATGGAAAATATTTGGGGAAAAGTTGCATCAGTATTGAACATGTATAAACTTTTGTTTTTGTTTGTCATTCTTCCCTAAACAATATAATGCACAACTATTTACCTGGCATTTACATTGTAGTAGGTTATTAAAAGTTATGTATAAATGACATATAAGCACAAGAGTATAGGGTAGTGGTGGGGAACCTATGGCACACATTTATTTTTATTTTAAGGCAAAAGATGCTAATGCATGAGTTTTTTTCTAAACTAAAACCTCTATTCAGGTTTAATTGCAGTGCTGCCACTGTGCAATAAATAAGTAGCTTTTGGATTGCAGTTTGGGCACTCATCTCTAAAAGGTTCGCCATCACTGGTACAGGGACATATGTGTAGGTTACAGGCAGAACCTGTGGATTTCAGCATCTCTAGGGATCCTAGAAGCCATTCCTTGCAGATACTGAGGGGTGACTCTATACACCAAGCTTTAGAATCCAGTGTGATAAAAGCCAAAACAGTTACCAAGGGTGTCACACAAGGAATACCTCTAAATATTCCTTATGCTGAAGTGACCTGAGGTTCCATGAGCCCCAGGAGGTCTTTGTTGCTGGAGGCTAGAGGTGGGTTGGGACAGTGAAAATTAGAATGACAGGAGTGGGGTTAGGTGATGTGATACATCCAGTCATTATTATGGGCCTGGTATTTAGCTCAGCAGTTTGGTGGCCTTCCTTGCAAGTACAATGGACCCGAGTTCAATCCCCGGTACCAGAAAGAAAGAAAACACTAAAGATTTAAGTTCAAAGGATGCTTAAAGTATTTCTAGGGGAAAATTAATTTTAGCTCAGCGGTTCAGTAGCCTGCCTCCCATACTTGTTGGTAAAAGAGGCTGAGAGTGTCTCCCTCAACTTCCTGTGCCCAGCCTTGAGCCTAGAGACATGCCGTTGTTGGGCTGGGCTGGGGCTATTTACTCTGAGCTCAGAGAACAGTCAACAGCATTGAGGGCAAGAGCCAGGTGGGGACACAGCCTTGAGCAGGCTCCTGAAACCCAGGGCACGTAGAGGACACTTGGCGAGCAGCTGGTTTTAGCCTGCAGACCAGCTGGCCACAGGACATTTAGCTCTGGCTACTGATGTCCCCGCTTTCTTTCAGGATTTATTGAGCTTCCTTGGCCAAGAAACTGCCCAGACTTCCCCCTCCCAGGCCCCTCATGTAGCCTCAGGCTGACTGTTCTCTCTTACTGGGATGTGGACTAGTCTGAAGCTCAGAAGTGGGGTGAGGTGGGATAGAAGGATGGAGAAAGTTCCATAAGTCAGTGGCATCAGATGTTTAGTTTTTGAGGCCCTGGATTCTGTGCTTGGCACAATTGTATATTTTCTTTTCTTCATAACTAAGAAGAGCAGTGGCTTCAGCACTACTCACTGAGTCTGAGTCCTAATCAGGGGTTGCTCACTTCCGGCCAGTGACTTAGAACAACATTTTGCTGTGTAGGACCTACATTTTCCTCTACAAATGAGTAACATCTTGTAGGACTATTATATGTATTAAAGGGAAGAGCATACATACACCAAAGGTTGCAAATCTGGCTGGAACGCATGCATTATTGGCCTACATAGTACATTTTTAAGATTTAAATTAGTTGCCAAGATTTAAAGTGGGGAATTTCATATAAAAAATCTGTAGATTCTCCTGGAAATCTGGCTGAATAGTCCTGCACACCATAGGGACCGAGGACAAATTCCTGGACCCTTAACCTGTTACTCGTGAAGAGCATGGATTGTCTTTTCTTCTGAGGCAGTCTGGAACCTGCAGAAGTCTGGATGAAGCAGGATGAAGCTTGGCATTTCTGCCTTCATTTTCTTCCTCTTTTGCTACCTAAAATCTTTGGGAGAGATCCCTACTGAGCTTCCCACCCACAGTCAGTGCTTGTGAGGGAGTCAGGTAGAGGATTAAGCCAAATCAAGCCCTCGGATGTCAATAGCCACCATCTGCCTGCAATCTCATGAGACAATGCAGGCAACAAATGAACACATAGGACTACAAACGTGGAGGCATTGGCCAGAGGTATGTGTTAGGTATGCTCTGACCCTTGTCCTCCCCATAATCCAATTTATTACTTAGATTGGTCCTAAGGTCAGTCATGTAAAGGATCAGTCTGTCCTTCCCCTTTTCTCTACATGAATTCCTGCACAGACATTGTCTTTCCTATATCCTTTATCCTTGCTTCCTGGTTCTATCAATGCGGGCTTCAGTTTGGGGCTGTCTTTTATGCAACTTCCTCATGCTTAGGGATCTTGGTTAAGGGCAGCCCCTCTGGGCCCTCTCAGAGTTCAGGTTGGACATGGGCTCATCCTTTCGTGCTGTCCCAAGGTCATGAACTGCGACCAGTGGTGCCCAGTGAGGAATGTGTGAGAAATAAGGTGGTGCAACTCAGTGCAAGAAGACCTGTCATGGGCTGGGTCTGAGGGTCCCCAAGGCTGAAATAAGGAATTTAACCCACCCTTCTAAAATAAGCTTGGAGGTTTGCTGACTCCTGTTGTGGAAAAAGTCTTTTCAGGACGTGCCAGTAAAAAGGAGGCATAAGAAAGATTTATTAGAAGTAAATATAGGATACACTCAGAAGTGGAGAGGGGGTGCTCAAGGAAATGAGGCACAGGTTACAAGCCAGAGTAGGGCACAGGTTGAAAGGCTGTTATCAATATGGGTGATCTCAGATGTGTATTCTGTCTGCCAGGTGACAGTGTCAGCCATCCACGTGGGTTTGAACTGGAGATACACATTAGGCAGGCTGTCCCCACTGCAGCTGTGTATATTGGGCTGGAGGGAGGCTGAAGGAAAAGGTAGTTCACAGGTGCAAAGTAGATGGGCAGACCCCTGTGCAGCTGCAAGGGATTTGCCCATGTTGGCTGTTCCGGGAGAAAATAAAGCAAGCTTGTGTTTTGAAGCTGTAGTGTTTCTTTATGAGCACAATTTAAAATTCCCCTGGTCTCCTTTTTACCTAATTTTATTTCTTCTGTCCTATCTCAGACCTACCTCCCTGTTTCTCCCTTGGAAAAGAAACAAGGACGTCCAACTTCACGTTCCTGGAAGGTAAGCCGACAAAGGTGGCCACAGAACCGCCTCTCCTCTGGAACAGGTTGCAGGTTAGGCTTCTCAGCCCAGAGGTCTGTTAGCTGTCCAATTGCGAAGGGAGCAGGGTCAGTGTGTTTGTTCCTCTTTTTGCTCCTTTACTTTCATTCACATGGTGGGGATCAAACTTTGTCCAAAGAGGGAAAGCAATTTCAGCAACATTTACAATGTCTCTTAAAGACACCTAGATGTAACGTTTCTGAACCTCAACTTATTAAATTATTAATAGTTATTCAACAACAATGTCCACGGTTTCCTCTGGAGCACAGCCTGGAGGTGGAGGATTGGGAGCACATGGCAGAACATTGAGACAGTCATTAGGTCCTGTAAAGGCTGAGCACCTTGCTGCCTGGAATCTTCGCAGGGTCACTATTTGTTCTACTCAAACAAAGGAAGTTCCCCTAAAAATGGTTCCTCCTCCTTCCTCAGCTTCCTCTGAAGGTCCCCTTCCAGCTCCAACCTCTGGGGGAATGGAGAGAGGTAGCCAGAGAGGGGGCTCTGAAATTATACTATATGCCAATTGGACTTGTTTTACAAAATAAATTAAAAAATAGAAAAACAAAAGGAAAAATAAAGAGAGAAAGCCAAAGACAAAACAAGTCAAGCCAGCAGTTACACTAAACTGGGACAAATTTATCAGGCAAGAGTAACCCCCGACAATATTTCTACAAAGGATCAGGCACACACATATACGAGCCCCAAAACTGTAAAGCTAAAAGGAGTGACTCCAATCT